TTAACTAGACTGTTTACAATTCTTGATGCCTGTAGCTAAGCCTAGACTACACAGAGTCGCAGACAAATTAATTTGTTTCGAGCTGTGAACCTTTTCCTTCTATTAAATAAGTGAGTACATTATTGTCGTTACCACAGTCGCTCAAAAACAAACTGAAGTATGGACTGCGGATATAGACAGTTGAGGATTCATTTCCTTTGAGAATTAATAAAATTTGTAATCTTAAACGAATGACTCTGATCGTTTTATATTTTTGAACATGATTTCCAATTTTTGAATTTACTTACAACAGTAAGTTCTTGTGTGATATTACAACCATAAGTCTTTTTGTTGTTGTTGTTTTGTTTTCATGGATCAGTTTAGCTCTATATTCTTGTGGTGTTTTCATTGGTCGGTTGTCGACATTTCCGGTGATGGATAGTTACTATATATTTTTCGGCTGTTTGTGTAGACAACCAAAATATAAATGGAAAGGTGTTGGCAACAGAGCATAGTAGAAGAAACACAATAATAAGATTGATTTGTCACAGTCAAATCAACCATTTGGTGATTTCGAAATATAGAATCATTTACTTCACATACGCCATTTGAGGACGTCTCTCTCTCACTCTCTCTCTCTCCTCTGTCCACCGCTGACATTTCTAACACTGTCTTCTTAACCTTTTCATTTACAAATTGTTCTTTTTTGGTCAACTGATGGATTAAAAAGAAAACATAGTTTGTTACAAACAGCCCAAGTCCAAAGGCCCACCGAAATTTAAGCTCTCAACTAGCCCATCCCATGAAAACGAAACCCTCTCCATACAAACCTCTCATTCGATCAACACACTAAAACACTGCAACAACTCAAGAACATAAAACAAACTTAAAGAACCAGAATCCTTGCCTCCCTTTCAAAAACCTCATCCAACCAATCTGGAGCTCCCCTAGAAACATAAGATTGACGAAGATGCGGATATGAAGTGGAATTTGCAATCGCCTTTGCACCACCATTTTGTTCTTTTGATTCTAACTCGATCCTCCATTCCGCAATTGAATTCAAAATGTTGCAAATAGTCTCTCTATGATATCTGAACGCTGGCCATCCTTTTGGCTTATTCACTGCTTCCACCAAACATTTATCTTCCACACCAAAGACCACCTTGTCTAATCTGTGCTCCACCATACTCTTGATGGCCCAAATTACCACTTGAAACTTTGCTTCCTCCAGATTCATGAAAGTAGAAAAGGTTCTTCTGCTATGCATCAGCACCACACCTCTATCCGATCTTAACACCCACGCTGCCCCGGTTAAGTGTCTATGCTTGCACCAATAAAAACCAATGTTACATTTTTTCCAATTATCTGGTGGCGGCTTCCACCGTTTCTCCTTGCACTCCACATCCACCGTAACCTCAGCATTTTGTACATTTTCACACGACAGAGCATAAAACCATTGGTTTGCTTCTTCTATACTCTTTATCACCGTCTCTTGAGCTTGGATTCCTACGCCCTCAAACAGAAACTTGTTCCTCGCCTTCCAAATATTCCAGATAACCCATGGCCAATACTTTCTCTGCAAAACTAGACCCAATCTGTTTTTATCAACCAAAAGGAGATGCTGAAAGTTTGCGTAAACAGAACTTGAATCAAAACCAAACTCAGGGTTCGGTATATCAGCCAGGGCCCAAGTTTGTCTAGCTACCGTGCAGGAGAAGAGAACGTGATTGATCGTTTCACCTTGTAAACCACAGGATTGGCAATGCCCATCAACTTTCATCCCCCTTTTTGCAAATCCTTCTTCCACCGGTAATGCATTACTCAAGGCTTTCCATAAAAAGGTGCGAATCTTTGGCTCAGTTTGTAGCTTCCAAACTTGTTCCTTGAGAATGTTAAGCGATGGTTGTAGCTCTGCTTCCTTTCTCACCACTGATTTCTGGTGGTTGCAAGCTAACCAATAGGCCGATTTAACAGAGAAGTCTCCACACTTGTTGTATCTCCAAAGCCAAGAATCTTTGTTCGCTCGAGAAGGTTTGATCTTTAAAATATGTTCAATATCATCAGGGACAAACAAATCGAGAAGGATATGTCTGTGCCAGTCATTCTTCTCCACATCAATAATATCCTTGACCATGAGATTTACGTCAAAAGTGCGATTTTTCCTCATTGGGGCTCTGCACATTCCTTCTTTGTCTTTCAACCATGGATCTATCCATAGTTTGGTTTGCATTCCATCCCCAACGTGAACATCAATGCCCTGTTTTAGAAGCTCTCTGCCCCATACAATGCTTCTCCAAGCAAACGATGGTCTAACCCCAATCTTGGCTTGCATGAACTCACCATCAAAGTAATATCTACTTTTCAAAAGTCTTGCCACCAAACTTGATGTATCTGACAGAATTCTCCACGCTTGTTTTGCCAACAAAGCTTGGTTGAAGAGCTCAAGATCCTTGAAACCAATGCCACCAAGCTCTTTAGGGAGACACATTTTTTCCCAACTCACCCAAGGTATTTTCCTCAAATTTTCCGTTGAACACCACCAATACTGAGTCATTGCCGAGATGAGATTTGCACAAATTGTTTTAGGAAGTTTGAAACAGCTCATAGCAAAGATAGGCATTGCCAATGCAATCGCTTTGAGCAGTGTTTCTTTACCACCTTGCGAGAGAGATCTTGCAAACCATCCAGAAGTTCTTGATTTTAATTTGTCTTTGATGTAATTGAATAGCTCTACCTTAGACCCACTAAAACACTCTGGAAGACCGAGGTAAGTGCCGGCTCCACCCTCGTTGAAGATCTGAAACACTTCTTTGATCTCCTTTCTTATTCTTAACTCCACATTGTTTCCAAAAGTTAACGATGACTTCATCACATTGATTTCTTGCCCAGTTGCTTTCCCGTATCTCTCAAGAATTGATTTCAGGATTCTTGTTTGATCCACATTAGCCTTACATAGGAACAGGCTATCATCGGCAAACAGAAGATGTGTGATCGAAGGACCTTCCGGACCAAAACTTATGCCATTCAAGAACCCATCCTCTTCTGCTTTGTTCAAAAGATGTGATAAGCCTTCCGTGCAGAGTACAAAGAGGAAAGGTGAGAGAGGATCACCTTGTCTCAAACCTCTCTCTGGAATAATCATTCCGTGTGGCTGATCATTAATCAAGACAGAGAATGTAACCGATGTGATGCAAGCCATTACCCAATCAGTCCACTGCGCATGAAAACCCATTGCTTTCAGAAGTGCTCTCACATAGCTCCACTCTACACGATCGTAGGCTTTGGACATGTCAGATTTCACAGCCATAAACTCGTTTGCTAAAACAGGATGAGTGCGAAGACCATGTACAAGCTCATGCGCAATCACAATGTTGTCTGATATGAGTCTCTGAGAAACAAACGCAGACTGTGTTTCAGAAACTAGAATCGAGAGCAAAGGTTGAAGTCTTTTGACCAAAATTTTTGATACAACTTTGTACAGAACTGAGCAAAGACTTATTGGTCTTAAATTGGCCATCTCCGTGGGGTTATCAATCTTTGGAATGAGACACAAATGAGTGTAGTTCCATTCCTCAGGTAGGTTACCACTCTGAAAGAATTCTCTGACCTATTTCGTGATCTGATCTCCAACCGTAGACCAATAGTGCTGAAAAAACAATCCAGACATGCCATCCGGACCCGGAGAGCTCGATGCTTTCACAGAGAAAACAGCATCTTTAACTTCCTCTTTGGTCACTTCTCTTATCAACTCTGCATTCATACCATCCGTAACACGAGGAGCAAAACCAGAGAAGAAATTTTCAAAACTTCTCGGATTTGTTGATTTGAATAACTTGTCAAAGTAATCTGTCGCCACCTGCCCTTTGGCAGCCTCCGATCTTTGAGTGTTCCCGTGTTCATCCATGAGTTTTTCCAATCGTTTTCGAGAGCGTCTGTATTTAACTGACTCATGAAAGAATCTTGTATTCTTATCTCCTCCTCTCAACCACAGTTCTCGACTTCTTTGACGCCAGTAAGATTCTTCCTCTCTGTATGCTTTAACCAACTCCCGTTTGAGGTAGTTTGTATGCTTGAATCTCGGATGCATCGAAGATTGCTCAAACTCCAAAGCCACTTCAATCTGTTTTATCTTGTCTCTAGCATTTAAGTTATTTCTTTTCTTCCACTTGCTAAGAGATTTACGACAAGCTTTTAACCTTTCCGAAACCGACTTAGTTTGCCTTCTGCATCTGTTACTCCAAGCTTCAATAACTGCACTTTTTACTTCAGGTTGATGAAGAAGTCGTTTGTCAAACCTGAAATGACCACGATACGTTTCCTGAGCCTCAATCAACTTCATCAGTACTGGTCTATGATCGGAACCCCGTTTGTCTAAGAACAACTGATTGGAAGCCGGAAAATGCTTGAACCATTCCGAGTTCCCAAAGCTTCTATCAAGCCGACTCTGTATCCACATATCATATCTCATCCCACCCCACGTGAACATATTCCCTTGATGAGGCAATTCCAACATGTCACAGACTTTGATCATGTCTCCAAAGTCTTTAAAAACCGAATCTCCTCTTCTTGGTCCTCCGAGTTTCTCACCATTGTGAAGTATGTCGTTGAAATCCCCTATCATACACCACCTTTCCTTCCTATATACACCAATGCGGCTTATTCTTTCCCAAACTTTAGCTCTATTCTTCACCAACGGAGCTCCATATACACATGAAAGAAAGAAATTCACAGCACCAAACTGCACTTGAACATCCAAAAGGTTCTTATCTTGAAACAAAAGATCAATATTTACAGATGACTTCCAAAGTAATGCTAAGCCACCACTACGCCCAACAGGTTCTATAGTATGAACCCTATCATAACCCAACATTCCTGTAAATCCACCATCTCGTCTCTACTCTTATTAGTTTCCATCAAGAACAACAGCTCAGGGAAGTGTGTTTTACGCAATTCCTCAAGCCGAGGAATCACCAAGCCATCAGACCGTCCAATAGCTTGACAATTCCAGCTAATTATGCTCATTATGGGCTGGACAGTCCCTCCATTGGGACCGTCTTGAGACATTTACTCTTAGTCGAGGTTTCAAGTTTCTCATCTTGAACCACTGGCTTTCTTTTCTTTGCTCCTTCCACTTGTTTCCCCTGTTGTTTATCTGAAACTGATAACGATACATGCTTTTCTTGGATCTTGATGTTTGCTTTTCTCCGAGCTTTGGGAGGCCTCTTCCGAGGAGAAGGTTTTTTCTTTGATGTCCCGGAGTAGCAGGGTTCCGAGAAACCCATACTAAAGCCCGTTGAACACAAAGATAAATCCTTAGGTGGATTAACAGGGCGTCCATCCTCACTCAGAACTGGAGCATTCAAATCAACAGGATCCCATCTCATGGCATTTCCGGATTTAATAGCAGACAGAAGCGATGTCTCTTTAAATTTTCCACTCTCTTGATTGGTTTGAAGAGAAGATTTCTCGCCATATTCAAAAACTAACCCTTTGCCCTTGTGCAAATCATTCGTTACAGTTGGAAGAGGCTCTAACCTGAGAACAATTTTCTGCAGAATCGGGTCCAACTCTGTTTCCTGAACCGAGACTTTAACTCTGTCTTCTCTTACTGATCTTTCATCACCATTATCTGTCAAAAGATATCTTCTCATTTCATCCAGCACTTCTTTTGCTATCTTTGGCCTTCCAGACAAAGGATCATTCGCCACTTGATCCTCTTTTAGAACGCCAAACAGTGGGTCACCCTCCTTCAGGACCAGAGAAGGTTTGGCTCTTACTTCCATCACTTTATGTCTTCTTTGAGCTGCTTCAACTTGTCTCTTCTTAACAAGTAAAGGACAGAAATCCTTTTCATGGTTTAAACGCTGGCAAGAGAAGCATCGTTTCTGAATGTTCTCATAGTGAAAGTGAATCACATGATTCATACCATTCGGTAGTACAACTACTCTGCACGTCTTCAGCGGTTTTGTAACATCGAAGAAAACCCTAGCCCTCACAAAATCATGAGTTTGAGGGTTTATAGGATCAAAGGCAACTTCATCAACAAATCCCAACGTACCAGCCAGAGAAGTAATCGCAGGTAAAGTATTGTAGTTCACAGGGATCTTACTAATTTGCACCCATATCGGAATTATTTGCAGGAAATCTTCTGGCGGATACTCCATCCATCTTTGGATCACCAAAGTCCACTCATTGAAGGTTTAAACTCCCCTCTCCAACACCTCTACGAGATCATGTTCATTTTGAAAGATGAACTGAAACTTTTCTTTGGATAAGGCCACACCTCTGACTTTCCCTTCTTTTCCCCATTTCCTAGGCATGTTCAAGATGAGACTTGACATCATCTGACACTCGGGGTTGAGAGATCTTCCAATCAGACTAAGAGCGTTGTTAACATTCGAACTGAACCCTGGAAGATCTGGCATAATAAAGGGATCATCTTCTTCTTCCAATGAAAGAGCCATCAAAGCCCTGTCCATAGCAGCAGACATCACGACACACCCACTTTTTGTCCTCTTGTCTTGAATTCTCTTACTCTTACTCTTACTAGCCGCCAAGAACAGTAGAAGAAACCCTAGAGATCTTGAAGATTAGAAGAAAAACTTACTTTTAACTGTATTTCGGGATAAGATTTTGCTTAAAGGAAAAGAAAACCACACTTGAACTCCTGATTCAAATTAGATGAAAGACACTAATTGAAAAAGAGACTCTTGAGCCCATAAAGGGTTTCTTTTTGATTTTTTTTTTGTGTACTTCTTCTTATACGCTTAAATTTTCCTTGACAGTAGACGTATTTTTGATAAATTGTTCTTTAAATCCAGTAAATTTCCCCGGTAAAAAAATGATTTGGATAACTATAAAAGTATACATCAAAATGTAAACAAAAATCCAAAGGCTTTTTAGAAACAAACAAAAAGGAAAGTTTAACTTGCGCAAGACGCAACAACAGCATCGACACCAACATCGTGAAACAACGACAGTTTACTAATCGCGAGAGCTTCTCCATACAAAGATGCTCTCGTTGATTTTTCTATCCTAACCTCCATGAAGTCTCCAATTTCAGGATTCCTCTTCAGATCATCACTAAGAAGACACTCTATATCAAGCAGACGCTTTTTGACAAACGAAACTCGATGTCCTTTATCTGTTTTTCCAATGAGTTCTGTCTCAGGAGCTCTCTTGTTTGGTCCTTCCACCAAAACGAACTGAGTCGAACCGACCTGAGAGTCATAACACGGACCTGTTGTCTCGCGGAACGCTTCGATGAGTTCTGTTAAACGTCTCTGCTTCACTTCCTCTGGAACGTCGTCTGTGTAATTCCGATGAGCGTGTGTTTTCTCTCTCATGCTGTATGCAAAACATATATGCAATGTCGTATCCAACTGCTCTCACCAGGCTTAGTGTTTCTTGGTGTTCTTCGGTTTCTCCATAGAAACCTGCCAATTCAGAAAATTCACGAGACACCATTGGCTGATCAGGTTTTAAAGTAATGGTGACCTATTATGTAAACTTGCTCGATCTATAACCATAAACCGGATTAAAAACCCCTAGTTTAAGGCATCTAAAAAGATAGCAAATTTCGAAATGGAAAGGGTTTAAGCAATGTTTTTGAGTAAACCATACCGGTTATGAAATCGCTAATTATAGCCACGTCTGGTATAATACTCCGAATCCTTTTAACAAGATCCAAGTAAGCTTCTCTGGTGTAACCTCTACGCATCTTTTCGAGTATTCTGCTATTACCAGACTGTGACTGCGCATGAAAAGAAAAGTTTATGGACAGAGGAAATAATATGTATAACATAGGCTTTTGATAAAACCCCTGGAAGCTTAAACGATTCTGATGACGTGGAGAAAGAGTCATTCTTCCCAGAGGGTTTATGCGGTTACGTATGAGGGAATTTTTTTTTTTTGATAAGATGTGAATTTATATATCAAAAAGAAAGGAATTGTGTTACAACAGAAATAGCAAAGAGTTCCTTATCACCAGATAATGAAAAGAAAGCTACAATTAAAACCGGTAAAGCTAATTAGACAGTAAGCAAGTGTTGATTAGCTATACGTGAACCATTCCGAGAGCAAGCCAAAGCAGCCTTTCTTGGTATGGTTCGCTAGGAGAGTGTCTCTTATAACCCGATCGATGTTCCTAAAAATCACAGAAGCAGGCAAAGATTCGCTGTTGTGGATTCTGCTATTACGTTCTCGCCAGAGGAGGTAAACTGTGGCTTGTGAAGCAAGTTTCCGGAGAAGAGAAGAACACCGCAGAGGAGGCGAAGAGAGGAGCCAGGCTACTAACGCGTGCCAAGATGTGAATGGAGTATAGTTGGGACCAAACCTTCGCATAACCAAAGACCAAACTTCCACAGCAAATCCACATTCCAAAAACAAGTGATCTCTTGTTTCTTCATGCGAGGAGCAAAAAGTACAATTTGTGTCGATGCTCATACCCCAATTAGCCATTCGAAACTTCACTGGGAGACGATTTAAGTTGGCCACCCAAAACGTAAAAGCATGTTTAGGTACAGCATCTTTACGTATGAGGGAATTGTATGCGAGAGATTCGGGTCTTGTTTGGTTCGGTGTTTTATCAGATTTCAATTCAGAAATAGCACATATTATCAGTACCAGATAGGCTCAGGTTCGATGGACTAGTTGTAAATGACCATAGACTAGGTAGATTTTCATGGCTCATCATGGGTAAATTACCAACAGCTCAGAAAGATAAAAGATTCAATACATGCGTGAAGATCATAGAAGAAACAGAAATGTACATACATTGGGGCATGAATTGGTTAAAATACCAATATAGGTATCATCAACATAACAAAAAAAAGAAAAGAAAAGAAAAGAAAAGAGTTTTTGCACCCAATGACTTAGAAAAAAAAACAAATTAAATTTCTAACCAAAATCCCCCCTTTTTTTCTCCCCCCTCTTCCTATCTCTCTCTACCCATCTCTCTAAAAAACCAATTATCCCCCCAATATGGTTATTTCACCAATTTCCCCAAAAGAAAACCAGCTTTGAGTGTTTTGGAAGATGACACAAAAAAATACATAAGAAAACAAATTGAACATGCCCGCAAGACCCTCTACTTCATCTTCATCTTCATCTTCATCCCTGGGTGGTTTGATCAGAAGCATATGGAAGCCCCACCTGAAACATGAAAATGAGTGCTTACACGAATTAGAAGAAGCAGAGCTAACGATAGAAGATATTGCATAAACAAGACAAGAAAGCTCAAACGATTCATGTCTTAACGCTGCAATTAAATAAAGGAAGAAATGTAAATTGCTTGACCATTCTTGCTAATTTGGCGTTAACTTGGCTCTCTCTTTCCTTCAAGAGCTGAAGCCGTCTTTGGTGATCCCTCTCTTTTTCCTTTAGCATTTCTCGTTCTGCAGCTATCCTAGACGCTGCCGATATCAAAGATTCACTTTCAACCTTTTTTATTTATTTTTTTAATTTTGTTTTTTTTTAAAAAAATATTCAGATCCATATATACATACCAAGCTCCAGGGCCCCCCAGAAAAATCCAAGCAATGGTATTCCTAAGAAAGTTCGGAGAATTTTGCCACGAGCATGTACTAGCGCGAAATTTTCAGCGTCAATGATGAACGTCTCGCACCGTTTTCTCAAACCCTGAAAGTTTTCACGCATCGAATTATATATATATAAGGAAAAAAAACACACAGCAAAAGAGGAATTTTGAGGATTTTCAGACGGAAAACTAAAAAAAAACACTACCGTGGTTGCTAGATTCCGAGTCGCCATCGCCTATCCTAGGGTTCTTTCTTCGCCGTCTGGTCTGGTCTGGTCTGGTCTGGTCTGGTCTGGACGAAACTTTTGGTCTAAAGGAAGGAAGGAAGGAACTCGACGATTTTGATACCAACCCACTGGTTTATCTGAGCTGGGCTTGCATTCAAAATGTCCACATGGAGGTGATATGATGGGCCAAAAAGTGGCGTTGTCGGGCTTTAACGGCCCAGTGGATTATAATTTAGGGCGAGGGGATGGATGATGGTGCTTTTCCGCTGTCGGGCGAGAGAACCAAACAAAGAACCCTAATTTCGGGAGCCATGATGATACGGGGTGGATCCTTGTTTGCCAAGGTATCTTAGTCGATTATTGCTATTGTTTCTTCTCCTGGTTTGATTCGAAAAGTCTCGCTGATTGCAATTTGCAGTACTGTCGAAGAGGGATGTCATCATCTCCAGACTTGTCTTCACAGCAGCACAAGTGTAAGGAAGATATATCTTCTTTACTCGTTTTTCTTTGGTTTGTGGTGCACAATTGCAATATAGATTTCTTATGATATGGGTTTTTGCTTTTTTGGTGTGTCTTAGCGTTGACCCGAGAGCCTACTCGTCTTAGCTTGTTTCTTTTTAGGTCGACACTTCTGTTCTTCGGATTCAAGATCGGTATGTTATTCGTAACCAATAAGTCAATAGTGGTCTTGTCCTTGTAACCAATCAAATCCTCCTTTGATGACCAATTCTTTTACCTCTCCTTCACCTTCAGGAGTCCATTCAACTGGCCCTGATCCACTTAATGCTGCCCGGCGAGAGGTAATAAAAACAAGGGAGCAAGAGTTTTGTTTTGTTTTGTTTTTTGAAAACAAAACCCACTAATGCTAATGTATGTGTGTCAACATCAACATCAATGTTTTTATAGTCCTTGGACGATAAGGAGAAAGATTTGGAAGACAGGATGAAAATCCTTGATTTCCAAGAAGCACTTCATGCTAAACTGGAACTGGAACTGATGAATAAGACTTCGCAAGACCAGAGATAATTCACCATCGGAATGTGGGTTTCGGCCTTCTATGCTCTCTCTTTTATGTATTTATATTTATGCTTGTCTTCCATGTAAGCTTTGCTAATATGTTATCTTGAGTGGCATCTTGTTCAATGGAGACTATTAGATCCTTCTTCCATCGTCGTTACTTTTACCAGACCTGTGATAGATATTACAACCAGCAAAATTTTTTTGATTTTCCTAATCATAGTCATATTGGTTGCTCTGAGCATTCCAACCTCAAATTAACCATCTAAATTAACACACCCGACCCACTGGTTTATCTGGGCTGGGATTCCACATAAACTCAAATACAGAAATCGCTAATCCAATTTAACCGAATTTATCCAAAAAAAAAACACAAAAACAAAAAATTCGTTTACAAATTGTTCTTTTAACCCAGTAAATTTTCCCGGTAAACAAATTGATCCGGTTAACTATAAAAGTATACATCAAAACGAAAAACAAAAATCCAAAGGCTTTTCAGAAACAAACAGAAAGGGAAGTTTAACTTGCGCAAGACGCAACAACAGCATCGACACCAACATCGCGAAACAACGACAGTTTACTAATCGCGAGAGCTTCTCCATACAAAGATGCTCTTGTTGATTTCTCTATCCTAACCTCCACGAAGTCTCCAATATCAGGACTCCTCTTCAGATCATCACCATCAAGAAGACACTCTTTATCATGCAGAGGCTTTCTGACAAACGAAACTCGATGTCCTTTATCTGTTTTCCCGATGAGTTCTGTCTCAGGAGCTCTCTTGTTTGGTCCTTCTACCAAAACTAACTGAGTCGAACCGACCTGAGAGTCATAGCACGGACCTGTTGTCTCGCGGAACGCTTCGATGAGTTCTGTTAAACGTCTCTGCTTCACTTCCTCTGGAACGTCGTCTGTGTAATTCCTATGAGCGTGTGTTTTCTCCCTCATGCTGTATGCAAACATATATGCCATGTCGTAACCAACTGCTCTCACCAGGCTTAGTGTTTCTTGGTGCTCTTCTTCAGTTTCTCCACAGAAACCTGCCAATCCAGAAAATTCACGAGACACAATTGGTTGAGCAGGTTTAAGGTAATGGTGACCTATTATGTAACCTTGTTCCATCTATAACCACAAACCGGATTAGAAACCCCTAGTTTAAGGCATCTAAAACGATAACAAACTCAAAATGGAAAAAGGGTTTAAGCAATGTTTTTGAGTAAACCATACCGGTTATGAAATCGCTGGTTATAGCCACGTCGGGTATAATACTTCGAATCTTTTTAACAAGATCCAAGTAAGCTTCTCTGGTGTAACCTCTACGCATCCTTTCGAGTATTCTGCTATTACCAGACTGTGCAGGAAGGTGGATGAGATTGCAGATATTATGTCTATCTCTCATCAGATACAGCAAATCGTCCGGGTAATCTTTAGGATGAGGCGAAGTAAACCTAAACCGCATCTCTGGAAACTCCAAAGAAAGTCGGTCCAAGAGATCAGCAAATCTCAAACCCATGTTTTTAACCTTACACCTGCTCGAGAATCCTTCACTGTATTCCCAATTAGCTCCTGACTCAGGATCAGACGAATCATCGTTATAGCTGTTCACGTTTTGCCCTAAAAGCGTAACTTCTTTCACACCGGATTCCCATAGCTCCTTAACCTCGCGGACAATGGATTCCACGGGACGTGACCGCTCTCTGCCTCTTGTAAAGGGAACAATGCAAAAAGCACACATGTTGTTGCAGCCTCTCATAACAGAAACGAAAGCGGTGATCGAGTTTTGGGAGATTCGGACTGGGCTTATGTCGGCGTAAGTCTCTTCTAGAGAAAGAAGAGTGTTGATTCCTTTTTGTCCATAGTCTACTTCTTCCAATAGCCTGGGGAGATCTCTATAAGCATCAGGACCACATACCACATCGACCATTTTATCAGAATCTAGAATCTTGTCCTTTAACCTTTCAGCCATACATCCCAAGACGACAACTTTAGGAGGTCTGAGAGACTGCGCTCTTCCACTAGCGACATTGGTTTTCCATTGGCGTTTTAAGAACCAGAAGTAGTTAAGCCTTTGCCATACTCTCTGTTCCGCGTTTTCTCGGATAGCACAAGTGTTGATGAAAATGACTTCTGCGCTCTCCGGATCCGTCACAATTTCTTTATAGCCAGAGTTTTTCATGATCGAAAGGACAATCTCCATGTCGTTTATGTTCATCTGACATCCATACGTTTCGTGATAAATCCGACCTTTTGATGATGCAGTGTCGGAATCTGGCGTGCTTCCAAGAGCAAGAAAGAATCTGGGAAAGTATTAGCACAATCATCATTCGATAGAAAAAGGTAAGTAAAGTTCTAGAAATTTGCAGGTTCCACAATCAAATTCTGTCTCAAGATTTAGAACACCAACGAACACAAACTTGCACAACTGAATTGGAATTATCGAAAGTTCGAAACTTTAGTGGAACTCTGACTATCTAAATTGTACAACCTATGGATTGGTCAACAATCGCATGGCTTCTGCAACTATAGTGGAACTCTGACTATCTAAAGGTCGAAACTTTTAAGGATTCTTAATTGGCCGATCAATGGCTAACAACAATTTTATTAGGAAAATTCTCTAAAAACCAGAGCTTTGTGATCATTCAAACTCCATCGAAGACTTACACAGATTCTGTTTGGGGAGCGGTAAGAGAAGCTTGGGCTTGAGCTTTGGGGATGAATTGGTGGAGGCTTGGACCAACAAACTTTCCGGAACCAGCAATCTGAGAAACAGAGAAGCTTCTAGAAAGATCTAACGCAAACCCATTCTTCCTCTTGATCGAGTTCTGTGTGAGACGATGCGCGTTGTAGCAACGAGGGAGAAGAGCAGAGGAAGAAGAAGAAGAAGAAGAAGCATGGTTTAGTTTCGAGGAGAGGAATGCTAGAGCGAGACCGCGTCGTGTAGAGGCTTTGAAGCAGAGAGAGCAACCTTGAGGGTTGCTGAGAATGGAGGAAAGAGACGAGAGAGAGGAAGATGCCATTGGAGATGAAGCTCCTCCAAAGGAACAACTATAACGGGAGGCTCTCACAGGCTTAGGGATTTTACTCGTTAAAGTCAGTCAATCTACTCGAATGTCCACTCCAAAACGCAGCGTTTCGTTATCCAGACGCAGGGGTTATACTGACATTTCGTTCAGTCGTCTTGCCTTTCCTTGCTTTTATCAAACTAACGAACATTTCTAGTAAGAGAGAAGAAGACGTAAGTGGAGGAAGAAGAAGAATGATGATGCAGAAATGGAGAAGATCAGGAGATTTTATAAGATTTGGATGTAAATCTCTTAGTAATCTCCGGTCAAAAGAGAACTCAATGTCTCGTTCTGTTTCAGGTTTGATTTTTCAGTGGTCTCCACTTTGACTTGTTGTAATTCAGTTTCACTGGAAAAAGTACTCAACTTTGGTTTAGATACTTCGAAATTTTGGATGTGATATAAGTATGATTTGAATTCCTATCTTATTGTTTGGTTGTTATGGATGTAGGCTTTGTGAATCGTTCCGAGTCAACAAAAGGCAAGATTTTTGAGCCAAATGCTGGGAATTATCATAACACAGAGCTTGATCATCCATGTCTTGGTCGAAATTTGGGGATAATGCAGCAGTATAAATGTTTTGGGTCATCATCAGCTTCAAAAGTTCAGAGAAACTTTTTGTTTTCTACTGCTTATGTTGATTGGTGATGATCAAAATGCTGGATAAGTAGTTAATATCTCGCAAAATTTTTTTTTAAAAATGTGAAAGAGAAGTGAAATAAGAACAGAAAAAAAGGCGTTTGTGATCATAAACGTGACAAATTTGTGGCATCTTTGCAGGTAATCATCAATGTTGGTTTGATGAATAAAGTCTTGGCCTTTGATGAGGTAATTGGCATTCTTATATATAGAAAATCTGCTGCTACTGTTAATTTTTCTCTTATTTATATAAAAATGTGTGTGGAGCTGTTCAATGGAGATTGCAACCTTTTATTCTAGTGTCAGTTGCTTCATAAGTATACTGCAGCAGATTCTATTGGATACAACGTACTTGGTGATGATACGATGCTCTATCTGCAGGTTAGCGGCGTCTTGGTGTGCGAGGCAGGATGCATTTTGGAAAATCTGGCAACTTTCCTTGACACAAAAGGGTAATATACCATGTCGTTTAGTAAAAATGAACTGAAAAGTACACAGAAGAGTGGTTTGGTATTACTTGGATTGCTCATTTATTTGTCTGATGTAGCAACATAAATTTATGTTTCCTCAGTTTTGTTATGCCTCTGGACTTAGGTGCAAAAGGAAGCTGTCATATCGGTGGGAATGTTTCAACTAATGCTGGTGGTTTACGCCTTATCCGTTATGGTTCACTTCATGGAACCGTATTGGGTAATTTATATAGTTCTAGTCTTTTTATATCCATCTGAAATACTTTTGGGTTTCATCTTCATCATTTTTATTTTCTCACCATCTCAGGTCTAGAAGCTGTCACAGCAAATGGCAATGTGCTTGACATGCTTGGAACTTTACGCAAAGACAATACTGGGTACGACTTGAAACATTTGTTTATCGGTAGGTATTATTTATCGTCATGTGCTGATACAATGATTTCAATAGTCACTGCATTACCAAAAGAGACTAAAACATCTTGAATTTTTCTCCTTATTGGTTTCCACAGGTAGTGAAGGATCACTTGGTATTGTGACTAAAGTCTCTATACTCACACAACCAAAGATGTCTTCTGTAAATTTAGCCTTTATCGCTTGCAAAGATTTTCTCAGCTGCCAGGTTTAGCACAATTCTTCTTTACTCTTGCAATCGGACTCTCTTTACTGGAGGAGATGACGTGTGAACTATTGTCTCTTGTTATCTTTTTTATATCTTTTTTCAGAAACTTCTTGTTGAAGCAAAGAGAAACCTTGGAGAGATACTGTCCGCGTTCGAGTTTCTTGATAACAATTCCATGGATTTGGTAAGCTTTCAGGAACTGTTTGCATTATTATCTTGTGTACAAGTCTATGATTTTAGCTAAACCTTTTCGCTTTTAATTCATTCGGCAGGTACTGAACCACCTAGACGGTGTCCGTAATCCAGTTTCCTCTCCAGAGAACTTTTACATATTGATAGAGACAACGGGAAGTGGTGAAACTTATGACAGGTAAAGTGAATATGTCTGGTCTCTATCTGACTTTAACATTTTTTTGGTAACAGTTCTCTTCTAAGTATTCAAAATCCCATGAGAGAGTTTTATCTGATTCAAAAACTAATGCAGGGAGAAGCTTGAAGCTTTCCTGTTAAAGTCACTGGAAAAAGGATTAGTTTCTGATGGTGTAATCGCTCAAGACATAAACCAAGCATCCTCATTTTGGCGCATACGAGAGGTACACACTTAGTATTATTTCGCCTCGAGATATTCGATGTTACACGTCCGAGTTCAACAACCCCATTTTCTCTATCAAGTTCTTGAAATAGCTGTTGTCGAACCTCGCCGCGCTGACAATGTCCAGCACCGAGAGATTCTGGTCCCCTCCAGATCTAGGACACCTTTGGCGCAAGTTAGCAGCGAAGGATTGTTCCAATGTCATGTCTGGACGACCGTTTCCGGACTGATTGTACAGCCTCTGTCTGAAACTCGTGCATCTTGAGAATCCAATGGTGTGACTCCCTGAGAAATAGTTAAGAAAGTAAGGTACGAGGGTTTCTTTGATTTTGTACCGTGCATGTAAAGCAACTGTGATAGAATGAAAGAAGCTTACCAGAGAGAGCGACAAGGTCGGTGACATCAAGTCCTTGACGATTGAACTTTGAGAGAATTGTCTGGAAAGTGTTGTTTGGTGCAGGGATGTTGTTGTTCGAACCACTCAAGCTTGCACTTCTTGAATCCCTTCTTCCCAATGGGACCATCCAGCTTGGTCCACCAGTCTAAACCAAAATCCAAACCGAATCAGTTGATTTTTCAAAATTTTGCTCGAGAAAACAGATATTGTGGAGGAGACTTACAAGAACAGAGGAGTCTCTAGCGGCTAGGGTGAGAATATCAGCGCAAGAGACCGTTCCAGGGCATTCTTTCTCCAACTGAGCTTTGATCTGGTCAACTACTTCAAATCCACGAGCAGATTTGCTGTTAGGGTTCGAGCTTTTCTCACTCACTATCCTCCCACTGCTGTCTAGAAGCAAAGAGCCATCACAACCCTGCATTTCGCAGTTACCTTGTTCAATAAGCAACTAACTTAATAAACAAAAAAATGATGATCGTCGAATAAATTAACCAAACCTGAACGAAACAGTCGTGGAAATGAAGTCTCATCAAGGAAGCAGCCATACGGGTCTCTCTAGCTACAGCGTTGGCTACAACTGATCTCACGATCTCTCCGGCTTTCGGGCATGAATGGGCGTAAAACCACGGGTTTAGTTTGCCTCCATAGCTCTTATCGCAGAGACAAAGAGGGAGAACGCAAAGGAGAGAAAGAACAAAGAGAAAGCTACTGACTCTTGCCATTACGTTCAACAAGAAGATGAAGAAAGGAGAAGACTTTGTGATGAGGAGTGATATTAAGCTAGAGGGGAGGAAGAAGGTATTTATAGGAAGATATTTTAAAGAAGAAGCAAGAAGAAGTGGAGTTGGTATTAGCTAAGATAACATTCAAGGGAATTGCATGAAAAACAAATTGTAAAAAAAAATTATTGGAGAAAAGAAGATTAAAAGAGACTAAAGTTTGGGTTTGGTACCAACATTGCATGCTTAGTTTGACTAATTTACCTCCTTTTTTGGTTTAGTTTTCTACAATTGATTTGACTTCGTTGGACGGGAGAAAAGCAAAGCAAGCTTTGAGTTTTTAATATATTGAAATTGATCTTTGTCCATATTTTAACGACTCGTACCAATAATTTGATTATTTGAAGACTATTAACTCTTTCTTTCTAGGAATAAATATTCGAATTTTCTTGCGTCAACATAACCTTTTGATACAAGCCAGAGAGCAATTTTCATGTAGCGCACAGTTAACAAACTACATTTCTGTAGACTTCGGAATTAGTCACATTTGTCTATTGAGATATCTAATTACAAATTTTACTTAAGAAGTGTCAATCGATTTTAGACACAAAAAATGCTAGTCTATAACGTATATATAAGCCATAATGAATGATATGCCTGCAAGATCATAATCGCATGGGTGTCTTAATCGACTCGGTTCAGTAAAAGATTATTGAGTTTTGATTTTCCGGCAGTAATTAAGAGATTCGTTTTAATAATTTATCTTTCTCTAAAGTAAAATAAGAAGCGAAGAAGCGAAGAAACGAAGTATGAACAGAATAATCAAACTATAAAAAGAGAAAACTAATATAATGCCTAGATTTAACTAATCTGAAAAAAGAATTGAGAAGAAATAATATTAACTTTTGCAAATGACTTGGTTATACATAAAAATATGTTCGCAGAGACAAAGTCCAAGACTTTTACGTAGTGAGAAAGAGAAGAGAGTAGGAAGAGATTCTAACTACTCTCTTTTGACGACAAAAAAAAGTCTCTTCAAGTTTTCTATCTTTGTTTGACTTGTGAACCCGCTCTTGTTCTTGTAACCAAAGCAAAGAAAGGAAGCTTTTTTGTCCTTTTCTATCAGAACACATGAATCTGCAGTTAAAAGCAATCTCAAGGTGCAACTTTCAACTTTTTGACTCTTTCACGATTTTCTCCCCTCATTCTAGAAACTAAACATGAAAGTGAAAATAAAAAAGGTAAAACCCGAAAACCACAGTTCAACTACATGCCATACCATTGATTGAGACAGACCACTCGCAAAGGCAATTAACAATTTAGATCGCACCATATGTTCTTTCACTTGGCCTCTGTGTTGGTGCTTGAGTAGAAGACGAGGAAGAGCGGTCCCATGAGACTTCATTGGCAAAAGCATTGTTAATTTCTTCAGTTCTTGAGTAGCTTTGTCCACTTCCACTCACCTGTTTGACAAAGACCATAGCCATTATATTACACAGAACTTGTCTTTTGTGAGATCCATAAACTATACTTAAGACCAGCAGTGAGGTTTCTCCTTGATTCCTCATAAATGAATACTTGAGTCCATTTTTGGAATGCTTACAGTTTCTAGTAAGCCTGATAGAAGTGACATGCCTGGCAATGCATCAATCCCACGCTGCGCCCATATGAACATATCAGTGCTAGTTTGTGTGTATATAGCGTGAGAATTAAGAATGGACGTCGAAGAAGGTTACCACGCGTTCTACTCGTGTTTTGTAGACAAATCCTCCACAGCAGAAAAGTGTAAATGCAACGAGGGATCTGATCAGAAGCAACACACAAGAACGCAATTAGTTGAGCTAATTCTCCTGTTACAAAGCATTCGTGATTTTGGGAGAGAGATTTTCGTACACGCAGGAAAAAACTCCGAATATAGCCCATCCTTTCGCTGATCCTCCTTCACCACCTTGGTTGTATTCTGAAATAATTTAAGAAAAGCGAATTGTATGTATCGGAGAGAGAGACAGAGCAAGCAATGGAAATTTTCAGCTCAAGGGGAATGACGCGTGAATGATAAAGTTGAGTGTATAATAAGCTTACCGCAGAGTTTTGTGAGGAAAAACTGAACAGGATCATAACCATCCACTGGGATGGTGACATTGACTTCATATGGAGTTCGCCGAGATTTCTCACCTTTGAAGAAAAAGAGGTTACAGATTTTGTAAAAGCAAAGGTCAAAGGTACAGTGAAAAGAGAAAGATAGCAGAGGATATTACAATTCCAATCCAGTACTAAGGTTGAAGGTGATAACGTTGTTGGATGATTCGCAGTCAAGGAAGAACCAGATATCTTAACAGAAAGACCATTCTCCGGGTAAACCTTGATGATAGGCTTCCCTACCAATGTTGAAAGAGAAGCAATTGCAGTCATATAGAGAGTAAGATGAGTGTGCTCGGTCTTGAAGCTGCGAGGAACAATTCAGGTAGTAAATACACAGCAACTCAAACACGGACAAACAAAGTTCTTGATTCCATACCTAAATTCACGATGGGGTTTGTCAAATCCAAATTGCGTCATCCCATTATATATCTGCAGGTCAAATATCCAAAACCGAATCCATTTTAAGTTTTTGTTCAGTGTGAAAAAAAAAGCTGCTATCAAAAATTTGTGTTTGTTCCGTTCTTACAATTTCCCATGAGCGAGGATGCAAACCGACCGTGAATCCTTTAAAAACACGTGGGCCAGGTTTCTCACACGGAATGGCCAACTCGACAGTAACTCTGGACCAGTGGAAAAAGAGCAGGAACATACATCCGTTGTATGAAAAAATTGATGTACAATGATTCTTGTGTAATCAGAGATAAGTAGTAGCAGACACAGACCTGCAAGTTGAATCTTGAGTTACACTACATATGCATCCAAGTCCACCTGAAATAAGGAAAAGAAAGAATGAAGACTTGATTAAATTCAAAAATTGAGAAGCATTTTGAAGTTTAAACATCTGTAATGGAACAAAAACGAAACGGAAAAGGAAGACGCAGACACACCTTTACAGCGTCCATCAACACAGTTCCCACAAATAATATTGACCTGAACAACAAAACATAGAAACCACACTCAAAGAAAGGAGCCACTAAAATTTTCCACAACACAACTCCTGGATAGATATGTAACCTGTGCTGTACGTCCAAGTTTGTCATAACTCTGCTCACAATTCGACAGGTCGCCGTGATAAAACCCCTACATGAATAACACAGATCATGAAACAAACACTAACAATTGAATCGATGTTGAGAGGAAAAACACACTTCTACTCAAATGCAACAGTTGGTTATGATGGGTTAAAACTAAGATGCCTTTATCCCAAACAGTAGCCTAAAGAAGAGGAGCTTCTTACTTGAACAAAATCGAAATGTCCAGAGCTAGAAACAAAGTAGCTTAACGGGTCAAATCTTCCAAAATCAACATATCCCTGCACACAAACACAAAAAGTGATTTGTGGAATCTAGAGTTGAACAAAGCTTTTTCTCTCTAATCTTGAATCACCGGGATAAGGTTTGATGATATGGAATTTTTACCGCCTGCCCTCTTGTTTCCACATCTTTGCAAAATCTAACCACCAAATCAAATTCCTACATCCATAAAAACAAACCGATAGTCCTTGAAGTAACTCTAAACAAAGAAAAAACCACAACTTTATGAACTGAGAATATGTATATATAAACCTTGCCATCATATTCAAATGGATGACCGATCCAGCTGCTCTGATAAACCAAGTTAAAGAAAGAAAGCAGCTTCACAAAGACACTCAAATCAAACCAATGCAAAAAAGCAAACTCCTTTACTATTTTATTTACCAAGAATTGATCCTAAGCACAAGACCAAAGTAGTAGAAAGAGGATACAAAATCAACAAGACGACTTGAATTGTCGAGAGCATAGCAGTTCGAATCGGGGACGGGTACAGATGCAGCACCGTTGAATCCAAATACAAAAGCTGAAACATTTGCCAACAATAAGCTCTCAAAATTCGAAAGAAGGAAAACAATTCACGAAATGGGCAAAATTCCGACGACGAGCTTTTTACCAGAGATGAACAGAAACTGAATGAAACTGTGCTCTCTTGATGGGCACTTCAGTATCTGCATAGTGAGTACCTGCAACAATCTGTTCTTGGTCGTCGTCGTCTCCGAATTTGAGTATCGCCGGCAGCTTCCGATTCGGATCACGACGGGTAACGCTTTCAATCCATCGTCAAAACCTCTAAATAGCTCAGAAGGTCCCTCTCATACGAGGAGGGGGTGATAATCTAAATAAACCGATCGGGTACAAAGTCAAAACCGAATGATTCGATTTTTCGAATTGAACCACATTTTAATATGGTTCGACAACCGAACCAAACCGAGAAGAATTGAACCAAGTTCTATGAAGAAATCTAGACATGATCAATCACCGTCCACTGGGTACGAAGGAGAGAGGGAGCTTGACAATACATATAACAATAATGAATTTTGTTTTTCCTTTTTTTTTTTTTTTTTTTTTTTTTTTTTATTACTATATTCAGATTTGCTTATTCTAGTCTATTTGTAAATAAAGCAGTATTTTTACCTCAGATACTTAACTTTAGGAAATCACAAGAGATAACCTTAAATAAACATAACCTGAGAAAGTCAAGAAAATAAAATAATCCAATGTCATTGGCAAAAAATAAAAATCAGGTTTTTTTTTTCTTAATCAATGTTGGAAAAGGAGTAATACCTTCATACTTGAATTAAAACATAGCAAAACAATTAAGTGCTTAAGCATAATAATTTAAACCAGTAGTCTCATTAATATTTTTAATTTGGGAGGTCTCGTCCCAGTAATTTTGTTTGTTGAAGTTAAAATAGGATGTGATTTAGTTGTTCCGGTTTTAACCTAATATAAGCATAGTCCAGAAAAAAAATAAAACATCCGTTTGAAACTACGATTCTTATTTTTCTGTTGCATGTGTTGTATATGTTCCCAGTTACATATCTCATTATAGTCACTTAATCATACTCTACCATATCACTCTGATTACTTCCAATTGGTTAAGTACTGGCAGAAACAAAATCCTAATAAAATATACCCAAGCAGATGCTGAAAAATGCCGCAGGCTTTTAGTAATTGTCTCCCATTTGCTTTTTATTTGTTCAGAATTGTAAATACGAGGATAAGTACTTTTCTTTTTTTTTTTGAACAAATACGAGGATAAGTACTTATGTTTTGAATGTTGCAGTGAAACAAATGATGCAGTCAGAGCGCACTCATTAAGAGAAAAAAAGTACACACTTGATGTTTTCAGTGCAAGATAATTAAAGAAGACAAACTATACAGTAAAAAATGAAACGGTGAACTTTAGCGGAGTATTAGATAGCTTGAATTAGTTTAAATAATTATTAGTAAAATTCTATTGCAAAAAATAATTAAAACCTCAGTTTCTTTAACCCATTTTTTTCTTTTATCATCTTGATTACAAAATTTGGGCATTAATTTTATTTTGTCATCGTTTTTATCGTTAGTAATGTGATTTATTATTTTTCAAAATTTTGAAAATCTAGAAAGATTAGAAATTTGTGACGAATAAATGAATGATGATGACAATAGACTATGGTTAATTATTATATGTTATTTGTTAAATAAGTGAGATCGGATTGTCTGTTATTTGATAATTGTTATTGCTATTTGATAATTTATAACAACATAATTTTTTTTTTCTAATTTTTGAAGTTTTGAAATGTTAATGCGTTTTGAAATTCTTACACATAAACATTCTAATTTTTGAAATTTTAAAATGTTAATGTGTTTTTCCTTGAATTACTATTATTTTGTTATTTTGAAATATATATTAAAAGACATAATTTTAAATTTCGCTTAGGGTATTGCAAAATATTGGACCGGCACCGGAGCTCGATGATCCTCATAATCATTCTGTTCGTACAGAGATAAGTTCCTGTGTGCTGCGGGAGAGAGTGATATATCTTTTGAAAGATTGGGCGTGCGTTGGCGGCAGTAATCCACTGGTCCCTAGGGTCAATGGCGGTAACCACCTCGGCCATCCAGGAAAGCTTGCGGCAGGTGTTGTTGCTGATATCCGAAGCGAGTTGTTGCAGTAGACACACGAGCACGAGTTGGGTTAAAGGAGGTGGATCCAGTGAAAGTAGGCTAGTGAAATCCACCTCTGAGCATAGCCACGGCAGCAGAGCGACGTCTGCTCCATCTAACGCCAATGTGAAACACTGTTGATATTGCTGTTGTGATAGCAAGCTCGAGAGTTCTTCCTGATAGGAAGAAAGCAAAAGAAATTAAAAGATCAATGGAAAAGTTGCAGATATTTGCAAAGCTTTTCAAGAAGAAAAGCACTCAAAACAAGGGCTTACTTGAGTAACCAAGGGCTTTGAACCACCAGCATTTGCTCATGTATCACTCCTTTGACTCTCGGTTAAATCGTGAGCTAAAGTAATTATTTCCTGCGCTGCGCTTATGTGCTCATCAATCCGTTTTTTGAAGGCCATGTCGACTTGATCACACATGACCTTAAAGGATCTTTCGAAGGAAGGTAGCAAACTCGACCTAAGCTGATTGAGTGCACTATCACCAAATTTTCTCTGCATAAAAGAGAAAATAGTTTCTTTTTTTTTTTCAATTATGAACAATGTCACGTGAATCGCTTCTATATTTGTCTTCAAATTCTAACCTCGAATTCAGTGTTTGCAGACGATACAGCTGATGTTACTGCTCTTGTAACAACAGGAACAGTTTTCAAAACTTCTTTTAACAGTGTCTTTTCAATCAACTCATGCAGTGCCTTTTCATTCTCTGATAGTTGGCTCTGCATAATTTCCAGCGAAAGCATTACCTCTTTCATCATAGTTTCTTGACCAGCTAAGATTTGAGAATCATAGTTTCTTGACCAGCTAAGATTTGAGACTGTAAATTTGTCTGTAATTCTGTCATGGAAGCTGCAAGCTCCAGAAGCCCTCTGGAACCAAGACTTCGAATCCCAGAAGCTTCACCATCAGACCCTTGACTATTCTTTTCCTCTGGAACCTAGACCATTTTCTGAAGTGCTATTCTCAATTTCTTCATGATCATGGTTGAATTCACCATCATCCCGAGTAGCTGCATTTATATCACTTCCATTCTGCTCTTCACCTTTTTCTTTCATTTCATTAGAGCACGTTTAATTGAGAGCTGGTTTTTTTAAAAAAATATAATAGTTTTTTAATAGGAACAATTTGAAAATTGCCTTAATTATGATTCAAAATTTGAAAAATACACCTTTTTCTTAATTTTTGAAAACTACACTTTTCTATATATGATAAGTCATTTTTATCCAGTTTTAATTAAAAAATTTAATAATGAAATTTAAAATTCGAATTTATAAAATTCGAATTTATTACTATTCTTAAAATTATTGGTATTTATATTAAGATAAATACAGTATCAAAATAAATACAATGTTGAGATAAATAAATGTTATTTCAACCTAATAAAAATTAGATAAATCCATATTATTTTAACAAATACAGTATCAAAATAAATACAATGTTGAGATAAATAAATGTTATTTCAACCTAATAAAAATTAGATAAATCCATATTATTTTAACCCAAATAAAAAAGATAAATACATGTTAATATTTTAAAGTTGTCGACACTTTTTATATATACTGAATCATTTTTATCCTGTTTTAATTAAAATCATAATAATTAAACTTAAAATTCGAAAATATTACTAATTTTTAAGTTATTAGTATTTATATCTAAGATAGAGAAAATATTGAGATAAATACATGCTATTTCAACCGAAAAAAGAGAGAAATACATGTTAGTATTTTAAATTTTATCTCTACAAAATTTCAGTTTTAAAAAATTTATATAAAAAGGTCTATAGAACAAAATTTCATGTTATTAAAATTTTCATTATTTAAAACTATTAATTTATATAAACATTCAAATAAACTAATTTGGTCATTTCATTCTTTAAAAACTGTATTTTTCTAAAACATAAAAAGATGGTGTAGTTTTCAAAATACAAATTAAGGAGAGTGTAGTTTTCCAAATTTCCTCTTTTTAATATGATTTAATTATATAGTTAAATTTTAATTCAATATAAATAATAGAACCAATAAGAAAGAATCAAGTGTTAAAAAAAATTAAGACTTCAAAAGTTTCTAATATAAAAACTATTTCTTACCTTCTCTCATACTTTTTAATTATTTTTCTTTTTTTATATTTAAATTAGTTTCCTAAGAACCACCAAAAAATCTCCTTTAAACATGCTCTTAGTAACAGAGCCTGGTGGACTTCGAATCCCTTAAGCATCACCATCAGGTTTAACATTTGTTTCCTCGCTTCTGGAACTTTCCTCAACCGAAGACACATCATCCAATCTTCCTTTTCGATATGCATCCACTGCCAATCTTACTGAATATCGCAAATAAGCTAGTCTATATGGGCTATGATCCGCTTGTCCACTGTAGTTATCCAACTCCTTAATGGTGTGGTCTATAACAGGGAGAAAGCCACTGTCCTTTGAAGTTACATAAGTCCTCATATCTTTCATCGTGAACTGGAAAAGTTGCGAAAACAATGCAACACTGTTATTTACCATTCCAATCTTGAGAGAATCACACTTGAACTGAGCATAAAGGTTTGTCTCTATTCCACGTCCCTAGTTCAGAACAATAAAGGAGTCAGTTTACTGAAAGTTGAAACCTAAGACTAGACAACATATATAAACCCTATTCCTCTACTCTCTTTCACACCATCTCTTCCTCTTCTCTCTCAGTGAACAATGGTTTTCTCTTCACCATCACTTACCAAATTGTCTCTTTTGGTCGCCATTTCAGCATCAGCACTCCTCTGCTCTGCTCTTCCCCGTGATTTCTCCATCATTGGATACACACCGGAGCATTTGACATCCACTGATAATCTTCTAGAGCTCTTTGAGTCATGGATGTCAGAACATAGCAAGGCTTACCAAAGCGTTGAGGAGAAGGTGCACAGGTTCGAGGTTTTCAGAGAGAAACCTAATGCATGCATATAGACCAGAGGAACAATGAAATCAGCAGTTACTGGCTCGGTTTGAACGAGTTTGCGGATTTGACCCGTGAAGAGTTCAAGGGGAAGTATCGGACTTGCAAAGCCGCAATTCTCTAGAAAGAGATAGCCATCTGCTAACTTCAGGTACAAAGACGTCACCGACTTGCCTAAATCAGTCGACTGGAGGAAGAAAGGCGCTGTGACTCCCGTCAAGAACCAGGGTTCATGTGGTAACGTTTCTCTCTTTCATTTTTCTTGTACTCAAGTATATAAAACAAGAGATTGGAATGGGTCTCTTAAAAACAATCTTGTTTCTGTCATTGCAGGTAGTTGTTGGCGTTTTCGACAGTTGCAGCTGTTGAGGGGATCCACCAGATCACAACAGGGAACCTGAGTTCGCTTTCAGAGCAAGAGCTCATAGACTGCGACACAACTTTCAACAGTGGTTGCAATGGGGGTCTCATGGACTACGCATTCCAGTACATAATTTCGAAAGGTGGTCTCCACAAAGAAGACGATTACCCTTATCTCATGGAGGAAGGAACTTGCCAAGAGCAGAAAGTAACAAACACTAGACACAAATATGAATTCAGAACTAATTGTGATGCAGCTTATAAAGACTGATCATTAATGAATCTTTTACTGGAGGATGTAGAAGTTGTGACAATCTGTGGCTACGAAGATGTCCCAGTAAACGATGAGCAAAGCCTGGTGAAGGCTTTAGCTCACCAGCCAGTTAGTGTGGCTATTGAAGCTTCAGGAAGAGACTTCCAATTCTACAAAGGGGTATATAACAAATATTTCTGATATCTGAATTTTGTGTTCTATGTACCCAATCTTGCATCCTCTCAAGAAACTGGTGAATGTTTACAGGGAGTGTTTAATGGACGATGTGGAACAGACCTAGACCACGGTGTAGCTGCAGTTGGGTATGGTTCATCAAAGGGATCAGACTATGTGATTGTCAAGAACTCATGGGGACCAAGATGGGGAGAGAAAGGCTTTATTAGGATGAAGAGAAAAACCGGTAAACCAGAGGGACTCTGCGGAATCAACAAGATGGCTTCATATCCTACCAAGACCAACTGAGAGATATATCCATCTGCTGCTGCATCCCAAGTGTTTTCTTTTCTTTCAATGCATTTTCTATTTTACCCGTTTAAAGCACATCATATTGTATTGATGAATTTGAGATTTTAAAATAATATGGTCAAAGTTCTCTTAGCTCTTTCTTGCTGTGAGCTCTAAATTCCCAACTTCAAGAAACTTAAAAGCATGACCTCTTAATAGGCTTGTGTTTATAGTTTCTTGGACGGACAGTTAAGAAGTATAGGGTTTTAATATTGTCATTTCGATAAATTAGATGTTTTGTTCTAATACATAAGCGAATAATACGATCGACTTATATAGATAAACCATTGTTTCAAACAAGAACACGAAATGAAAAATAAATAGTTGAAATTGAAACATAGACAGAAACGAAAAGTAAGAGCAGCTTCCAGGGACTGATCACTTGAGTAACAATTTCACCAATCTTTCTTGGAGGTGTGAGATTTTCGAGCCCTAAGTCGAGACCCACGATTGGTAACAACATGTAAATGATTATGAAGATGACCAAAACCCGTCCCACATGCTTTCCTCAAACGTTTGCTCTCTGGAAAATTTTCGAGTACTTCATCCTACAACATATGTTACATGAAACAACCGATGTCAGTAAACCTAATTTCATGCTTTCTACAAGATGTATCAAAAAAACGTGAAACGAGAAGCATTACAGAAACACAAACAACAAGTTAGACGTTTTCTTCAATGTTTTAGGGCCTTTTTTTAGCAACAAAGCACCAAAGTCAGTAAACGAATTTGATACTTAAAATTTTTACAATCGGATGTTGTATACAAATTTTTCTCAGTTGAAAATCTCTAAAAGAAGAAAAAACTTGCCTTTATCCGGTAGCGTATGTCGAACTTGGCTGCTCGCCTACACGCATAAATATAAGCCTCCTGCTTGACAAGGAGTGGAAAAAGTTAAACAGGAAATGGATAGAAAAAATGTATCGATAGCAGAGGATGCTTAGCTTACTTCCTGTGCATGATTTTCACTTGAGAGATGGTTGGTGAAATCATCAAGGCTTTTGCAATCACAAATGCACACGCGGCAGACAAACATTTCGGTAGTGTTCTCCCGTGGGATTGTTGAGCTTTGACTGCACTTGTGAAGTCCCCATCGAGGCGCGCCTGCAAGTAATAAGCTTTCCCAGAGCCACTCTGCAGAAGTGACGAGGACTGACATTTTGTGAGGCCTATATGAATATGCCATAAAAAGGTTGTATTTATTCTCTTGTTGTTCCCGGGCAATAGTATCTGAGTAGAGCCGGTTCAGATCATCGGATATGAACATTATTGTAGCCGGAGGAGGATTATGTGTTTTCCAGGTGGCCATAGCTGAAAGCATGCGCGAGTATATGACTTCTGTTTCAGTAAAAGGAAAGCAGCGTTTCAGTAAAAGGAAAGCAGCGTTTCAGTAAAAGGAAAGTTGAAATTCCAGACAAGTAAATGGACTAACCGGGAATGGCATGTGCAAGAGCGACTCCAGTGGAAGAGAGCCCTCGCAAGAGGTGATCAGGGGCTTGATTGAGGTCGCCGAAAGCAGTGATGGAGACAGGACCAGAGTAGCCTAGTTCCTTGAACGCCGCTTCTAAACTCGGACGGACCCGACGAGCATCATAACCCTCGGGAATGGGACAGTCTATCATGTCCCACCACACGGCTATTTGAGCCGTGGCGTATTCGGGCTTGGCCGCGTAGTTCTTTCCCCACTTGCTCGTTTGAGAGTCAAGTTCTTCATACAAAGGGTTTAAAACCTCCTTCACTGCATGCATTTTACTCGAGATATGCTTCCTGAAACCCGCCGGGCTTTGGCCATGGAAGCAGCACGGTTTGCAGTAAAACTTGGCAGCGGATAATTGACCGCTAGTGCACTCAAGTGCGCTGCTTTTGAAGGAAAACTTGACAGATAATTGACTGCTAAGTGCGCTGCGTTTTGGGGACTCAAGACTTTTGGGGGACTCAAGAAGTAAGCTTTCCCAGGCCCACCTTGCAGAAGTGTGCAGTACCGAAGAACGTGAAGGCATAGATGGAGAAGCCAGAAAAAGGTTGTATTGCGTGTGTTGTTGTAGACGGGCCAGATCCCAAGCGAAGACATCCTCCACCTGATCGGATATGAGCATCATTGTAGCCGGAGGAGGATTATGAGCTCGCCACTCCAGCATATCCGAGTACATGAGTGAGCATATGGTTTCTGTTTCAGTTTGAAATTTAAACCAGCTAATAAATTTCAATTTAAACAAACTAATTAATTCCAATTTAAACCAAATTATCAATTCCAGACAAGCAATTGGACTAACCGGATTTGGTATGTGCAACAGCGACTCCGGTGGAAGAGAGCCCTTGCAGGAGCTCACAAGGGGTTTGTTTTTGGTCGCCATAGCCAGTCATGGAGACACGACCATAGTAGCCTAGCTTCTTGAACGCCCTTTCTATACTCGGACGGACCCAACGAGCATCATACCCCTCCGGAATCGGACACCCCTTCATGTCCCACCACACCGATATTTTAGCCTTCTTGTTTTCATGCTTCGCCGTATCGTTCTTATCCCACCACATCCTCGCTCTCCACCGAAACAAAGTGCTCCATCTCTAGGGCTTCTCTGCTTATATACAGTTACACAAAACTATTGGGCCGCCTATAAAATTGTGGATTGGGCTGGACATTTTTGGTATTTGAATACTATTGTATTATTTCAGATCGGATTCGGTTCCATATTCTCCGAGGCATATATATAGGCTCATCATGATTTTCTCGTTTGTCTTCGATACAATCATACAAAGCATTATTGTCTACCCGAAGCTCATGGTCTTTGTTAAATTTTCGTTTAAATCCCACGTCTCGACGACAGATTAGAGTCATTTGACTGACTGACGTCACGTACCTCCACAAACGAAATTTAATCTATACTCTTATCTTAAAATTAAGTCTTGATAACACGAGGTCTCTTTTGGTTAATGAATAATGATACCACATATATAGCCAAGTGATTAATCAGTAAAATCGCATAGTCGCGAAATGCTGATATTCTTCTGTACACTATCAAATAAAACTGTAATATATCTCTCTCATGTATGTTTTTAACAATATAAAAATCTCATGTATTCAAAACACCCAATTTCATATGTGACAATTTTTCTGACTAATCAGATACAGCCATGTCGTCTTGTTACAATTCTAGGCCAATTTATGAATAAAGCGACCAAATATACTATAAATGTACAATAATAGATTATTGCATAGGCTACACACAATGTCGTAGATATACCTATCATGAGTCATCACCATCTCTCGTAGACCAGGTTCTCTTTAGTTTCTTATACAATTATTGGGCCGTCGGATTCGGTTCTATATTCTCCGGGGTTTGGATTTAGTTTTCTGGACCCGGTTTTTTCGACAAGTTCGGATTCGAATCACTTTTATCTTCAAAAAGCTAGTATTTTAGCCTGGGCATCATCTTTGTTAACTTAACATATCTGAAAAAATGGAAAATTACATTTTTAATCATGAAGTTGACAAAAGTTAGGATATAGAAGTTGTTGAGAATTTCATTCGAAAACAAAAAAAGTTGTTGAGAAGATTGAGGAGAAGGAGAAGAAAGAAGACAAAAAAAGAGAATAAGAAGGAGAAGAAAGAGAGCATGAACATGGCCGTAACAAGAAAGAGAAGGAGAAGAGAGAGCATACACAACTGAATATCGATAAGAAGATGATTGGTAAGTCTTGTAGTTTGATAGTTTCAGTCTCATGGAGCTCGCACACAATCGTAACCACAGTCACAATCACAAGCACAAGGAATCAGTAGAGGAAGAGACAAAAGCGTAATAATAGATTTCTCGTCCTGACCATAAGGCGAGAGAAGCATGAGCTTCAAGCCCCACGTAAAATTTTTATTTTTAAGGGCCACATTTTAATTTCCATCTTAGTCTAGTGATGGAAGATAATTTTATCCACCTGTTTGATAATGGGTAAGAGATTTATGTAACTACATTTTTGTTTTATATTTTTCTTGTTTTTGCTTTTTTTTTCCTCCTCTTGTTTTTTGTTTTGATGCCAAATAAATATATTTTTATTTGAATTTTTACATTGGTGGCATTGTTTTTTTAGATTTTTTCTTTAAGTCTTATTTTTACTCATACTTTGTCTATCCTTATTATTATGATATTTTATCCATATTAATATTTCAAACAATTATTGCAGTTTATATATATAAGGTTCCTTTGGTTTTTTCCTAAAATTTTTATGAAATTTATAAACTTACAAAAAACCTCAACAACATTTAATTTCGATTAGTTTTAAAAACATAAATTAATATATTATACTAAAAAACTATTTTATAAAAAAAGTAAGGCCACAATTTTAAATTGCTTTAAGCCACCGTATGCTTAGGGACGGCATTTCATGCATAAAAAAGATCCTTACAAGAGATTCCAAAATTATTACATCTCAAAAACTACTCAAAAGTTAACACTCTGAACTACTAACACTTAATCTTCCTTCTTCTCCAAGCAATCCTTGATCTTGAGAAGCAATTCTTTGGTATCTTCAACTTCCACAAAATTGAGCTTGAGAACCAATTTTTCCTTGGTATGTGCGAGATTCAATCCCTCCATCCAAGTAATGATATCAAAGTAAAGAGACTTGAGTTGACCAACGAACCATGTTGAGTCATATCCCAACCAGTAAAAGACAATGCTGGTCATGACGAGGATCATCTTGAGATAGTAATTGATGACATGTTGGTGTGAATCCAAAGGGACATAGACTAAGTTTTGAAAACAAGAGATTTCACAATAGCAGAATCATCTTTGGCTGCTTTGGTTTGTGCTGCTAGAGAAGCATCTTTTGCTGCTTAAAGTCGGCCAAATTTGTGCGCAATGTTTGTGCACTTTGAAAACAATAGACATTAGTTTCTGCTTATCAAATGTCACCCAATTGGAAACCTTACAAATCTATGAGCATCGCTTAGTGTTTGGTATAGTTACTTCGCTTTTAATGAAACTCACATTTGTAGGGTATTTATCAATACACAATAATGATAAGACATGTGAAGCTGAAAGACATTTTTCTGCGTTTGATGTAAGAAAAGTTAAGAATGATTAATATCATAAAAACCTTCAATGATTTTTTTTGTTTTTTTGTTTGATATCAAAACATGGTATATAAAATTTAATTTTGGTAATTAGTCCGTTTCAGGTCTAATGATTTCATGACATAATGTAAAGAAAGATTATCATCAACAACACACAAATCCTAAATTATTATCAACATCAAAACTCATAAGCGATTAAAGAACATAAAAACTTATCACATGACCCTACTTATTAAGAAAAAAGTTAATCTTTCTTCTTTAATGAATTAGGAATATATACGGCACACTCAATAGTCCTTCAAAGTATAAATTTTTTGCCTAAATGTCAAACATTTGCTGGTTTCTTAGTGGTAAGTTTGGAGAATGATTTCGTGAGGTAAATCTATAACTCTTTTGTTTTTGTAGTTTCCCATTGCCAATCTACACAAAAAGAAGCTATTCTTGTCTTCTCAAGTGCTCTTAATTAGGCTGTAGAGAGTGGTGAATTGGAGGCTATCAAGCCCTTGTCTTGGTACCCTAAGAATCTTGCTTGTCATTCTAATTTTTCTCCCAAGGAGATCAGAAACAACCGCATAAGACTGTAAGAGGCTACTAGCTAGGCCATTCCCACATTTTTACCATTTACATTTATTTTAATTTTTAATACATATAAATTAAATTCAAAGCGTGTGAAAAAGGTCCTTCCTTCTTTGGCCAATGTTTTGTGAAGAGCATCATCTATCTATGTTTAGAGTATTTAATACTTTTAAGAAGAAACATGCTTCAGCTTTTAGAAAGATGATATATAAAAGTAACTTTTTCTTTTAGAGGAAAAAGTTATCATCCTAAAAACAAATACATGTACTATACTAACCAATTAAATTGATCTGGTAGATGAAATTTGAATGGTTCAACTAATACATTCGATCGTCTGCGGAAGAGGATGTGTCAGAAGCAGAAAGTTATCATTCGATTGTATTTTTCAGCCCCTGGCCCCTTAACAATTCTAATCTCTTCTCCAAAAGTCGGTGCTTTTCCGTCAAGTCCTGAAACACGAGTTAAAGACATTCAAGACAGATATATCTATCGGTTTATAACAAACTCAAACTGGATAGTGGTTTTTTTTACCTCCATCTCGGAGGCAAACCTCGCTGGATCGTATGGGGAGTGAACAAGAGCTGAAAAAAGAAAGCACAAAAATGTAAGTAAGTTGGGGAGGTTCTTCTCTAATAATATCTCCTCCCGCATACGTATACATACCTGCTTTGTATCCAACGTACACAAATAACGATTTGAAAGCAAGTGACTCGATGCTATATGCAGCCCACCTTTTGACCATCTCACCCAGGAGCTCCCACGCCTCCTCCTCAGTTTTCGCATAACGAGCTAGAGACCCAGAAAAACATGTGAATAGAACAAAAAAAAAAAATAGAAAAATTCATTAGAAGCGAGGAACGGAGGACCTACGTCCATTGTAGTTACTCAAGGAGGAGCACTGTCGAGATCCAGATGATATCCCTTTTCGACAATACTGCAGTTGATTGTTTCGGATATATCAACAATCCACCAGACCAGTCAGGGAAAAAAAAAAGAAAAATCAGATCAAACATTCGGTTCGGTTCGGGAATACCTTAGCAAACATGGATCCACCCCGCATCATCGCCGCTCTTTTGCTCCGGGGAGTTAGGGCTCTTAATTTGGTTGATTTCTTGAGAAATAGGCAACCTTCACCAAAATCCCTCAGCCATTTTCATGTATTTGAGAAAATATTCCATAAAAGCCCAATTACAATTCACATTTTCCGGCCCAATCATATCACATGCGTACCGTTATGATGGGCCGAGTCCAACGGTAATTTACTATAAATAGGGGCTAACCAATCAAATTGATATCTGGTAGATGAAATTTGACTGGCTCAATTAATACTATAATCCCATGATCGACATAATTTAAATGACCCAACGACCAAACATTAGTTTTACTCTCTCTTCTCGTGTTATACCTTATGCATATATTATTTCTTGTTCTTCTTCCAAAGGTTTTAGAATCTTCTCATCTATTTATACAACATGATCATTTACATAAAGCTGAATGAATGAATCCAGTATAGTGTGTTGGTTTGGACTTTGGAGCAGTTTTCGTTATAGCTTTTCATTGTAAACAATGAGCGAGAAGTCAATTGCCCGATTTAGAGGTATATGTAAAAAATCATTTTACACAGGGGACAATTTCACATAAATCATTGAATATTACCAAACGTAATAAATGGTAGATGAATTAAATCTGAGTGGCTCAATTCTTGTAATTCCATAGACATAATGACATAATGTAAATGACCCATACGAAGTACGGCCTAAACGCCCGTCAACTAAACGCATCACTAACCTTTGACGCATATATTTATGTTCGGGACAATAGACGCCTATAAGTTACGGAAATATTATTTTAACTATTATTGAAGTTTAATATAATATATGTTCCTTTAGTTTAAATACACTATCGATTAGAATTAAGAGTTCTTTCGATTAACGACTCGACAATTTAATCTAATCTCTACAGGTTTCGTAGACTGCAAGTCACCCATCTTCACCATCCCTTCCGCAAATGCCTTTAAAAACTCCGTTTCGTTCTCACTAAACATTGTCACATAATCACTCGTCTCCGGAGAAGTAAACAAGGTCTGATCGGAATTAAGAAATCCTCTCCTAGAAACCAAGTCTTTGAAATATTGATTATCAAACACTTTAGCAGTTGCGTCCTGCCACTCGTGACGTTTTCATCTCCTCCCATGGGACACAACATGCTCAATTTCTCTCGGTAAATTGGCTCGAAAGCCGGGTCGGGTTTTCCTGAACCAGATTGGTTGTAGAGTCTAGCCATGATCGAGAAACATCGAGCTTCGCCGATAGAGTGTGATCCAGATAGAGCTACCATGTCTTTTGTAGAGAGATTAAATCTTTGGAAGAGATTAATTAAACTCGTGGCGTTTGATCTTGGACTCGGCATGATGTCGTCTGAATCCTTTTGACTTGCAGTTAAACTGTCTTTTCTCCCTAACTTCACTTCCCAGTCCGGCCCTCCTGTCTAGTATCAAATTTAAATACCAACCCATATTAATTAATCATCCAAAATTGAAGTAAACCTAATTTACAAATACAGTATAAATTACCATGGCTGATCGATCATTAGACCGGTCTAGTCCAACCCTTACACGGTTGATCCTATGTAGAATGATTAACGCCTAACGGCATATGGAAATGATCGAGAGAGCAACTTACTAGGGCAACTGCATCACGAGCAGACATGATTATGATGTCTGCACAAGGGACCGTGGCAGGACAAGCCTTTTCTAATGCTTCCTTAATGTTGTCTATTACATCGAACGATCTCAAAGAGCCTATGTTAGAAAGTGAGAGCTTTCTCCCAACAATGTCGCTGTGTCATCCAGCAATACAGAACCATCACATCCCTACAAAAATAACCAGGGAAAACAAAACGATGGATTATATCATTATTAAGTTTTTTTTCAATAATTATCTACAGAAATGTGGTTAGTCCAAATCAATTAGTGATTAGTTACATTAGCAAAGCAATCATGGAATTGAAAACGCATAACGGAGGCAACACTTCGAGCTTCCCTCATCATAAGATTATATAAATATTTAATATCGCTCGGCCCATAAGATTGGATAGTTTTGTATTATTCGCTCAAGGGGGTCAAACCCTAGCTAGAATCGAAATTGAGAAAAGAAGAAGATGGGGAGCAAGGAGGGTCCGGCGTTAAGGTTGTTTGTTGCTTTCGTTAATAAGGTGCGACTTCATACAGAGATCAGAAAGTACTCGGCTTCAGCAGCGCTTTTCTGTGGATTTCTTTACGGCGACTGGACGGGTGGGAATGCTAAGGAGGTGGAGGCGCGAGAGATGGTGGATCTGCTCACGAGAGAGTATGAAGCAAAATCCCTACAGGTAACTTATCTAATTTAAAATCTGGAGGAGGATTTGAGTTGTAGGTAGACCATAGGATCGATATGGTAGGGAGATTGATAGGTTAAACTCGGTACAGAGTTGTGATTTTGCATCTCATTTTAGCTACTGCTCCATGACCGATTAGAAACGATTTACCATGTGATTTCAATCCTTCAGTTTAAAGGAACAAATTTGTGTACAATTTGTGCACTTCGAAAACAATAAACATCCGTTTATGCTCGTCAAATGTCACCCAATTGGTGAGTGTCTTGTATAGTCACTCTGCTTAAAATGAAACCCAAAGTCTAGATCTTGATTTGATTATTTGGGTGATATTTATAAGAAAATTAAAGAAAGGATAACTATATCATTTTCAGTTGAGAATGTTCAATTTCCCACCAATTTCCCTGCCGATAAATTGTTTCTGCTGGTGCATCTGGAGAAGCAAGAAGGGAGGAGAGGGTTTACATAGCCTGAGAGATGGCTTTGGTGTCTCCAGCTTTGAGAGAAGAGGTGAGATTGGAATCTGCTCTTTGAAGGGAAGTGAGGACTTTCTGAGCTTCATGGTGGAGAGTGGTCATCATTTTCTTCATGGCCTGAACATTGGGATGATGCTTCCTAAAGAAAGAAGCATTTCTGAGAATGGTCTCAGATTCTTCCAGAGAAAATGCTGTTAGCACAACCTTCTCTGTCTCAGTCAAGAAATCAAACCTTTGCTGCTGCCTTGGGAGGAGGAGAAGTCGTCGACCGGAGAAAAGTAATCTGGAAGCCATGAGGTGGGAAGAGAGAAGAGAATTACAGCAGGAAACAAGTCGGACGTTGGAAGAATTTGGAAGACCGGAGAGAAAGAGAGCAGTTAAGCATTTTCTCTAGGTTGCAAATTGTTTTAACCCACTTAAATCAGTGATAGCGAGATGATATGCTACAAAAACAACAAGATGCTTTCTAGTCTCGCTGATCAGATGTTAACCTCTTTGAAACTAAACATGAGATGCAAAATCACAATTCTTGACGTTTTCATCTCTTCCCATGGGACACAACCTACTCAATTTCTCTCGGTAAATTGGCTCAAAAGCCGGTTCGGGTTTTACTGAACCAGATCGGTTGTAAAGTCTAGCCATGATCGAGAAAAATTTGAGCACAATTTTTTCTATGAAAACAATGACATTAGTTTATGGTCGTCAGATGTCATCCAATTGGCAAACTTATGAATCTATGAGCATCGCTTAGTGTTTGTATAATCCCTTTGCTTTTAATGAAACTCACATTTTTTTGGTATTTATCAATACACAATAATGATAGGACATGTGAAGCTGAACATCATCCATTTCCAGCAATACTGACATAACAATAATATTGACATAGCAAAATCTCCTCAATGTCACCCCTGAAATAGATTCCAGTGCCAATGATCAGTGCAGCAGTCTTTGAAAGCTTTGTGATGGCCATCTTCAAGTCTGTTATTGGTACCATCTTCTTCCTCTCAATTAGAGACACAACACGAGTCTGCTTGTTTGCCAGAACTAAGATGGTATCTCTTACTTCTTGCTTCTCAGAAGCTATCTTGAACAGAAATCTGTTGAGCACACAATGAGATGCTTTTGGAACAACAATGGGATGCTAATTTTTAAAGAAAACCGAGGGATGAAGATGTGTACTTTGATTCACTTTTCATGCTTATTTTATTTTGTATTCCAGCATTTTGGTTCTATCCTACAACAAACCAGAGCTTGTTTAGACCTATGCTATGCTTCACTGTTTTCCTATGCTTTCAATTCAAACTTGTCATTGTCGTTTTTTTATTTATTTTTCCACCATTATTAGTTGAGAGTTGAAAGTTAGAAAAATTACCACCAATTTGACAACTCTCACTTCAGCTTCATGTCTTCAGCTTTTGAAATATTGATTATCAAGCGTGTAACGTTTTCATCTCCTCCATTGAGATTTGTCGCACAATTTGCTGAACCGGATTGGTTAATAGAGTCTAGTCGTGATCGAGAAACATCCACAACGAGTAATTTATTTACGACATTGTTTAAGTAAAACATATTTAACGCTTATTAGAGCAACCAGTGAGTTTTGCCAATTGATAATGACTGGAAAAATGAAATAAATAAATAAAAAATGGAGAAAATGAATCCCAATTGTAATACAAAAGGGAAATCTATTAAACCCAAAACCCATCAGTCCATCTCTGAGAAGCCGGCGGCTAAAATAGAAACTCGGCGACGTAGTCAACGAAAATGGGAAGAGGAAGACAACACAGAGGTCGTTCGAAGAGAAACCAATTAGAAGATAGCAAAGAAAATGTTCCAAAACCCCTCAAATCCTTTGATTCCAACATCCAAAATCGCAACTGGTCGAATCTTGATTTCGAGGAGTATTACAAGGTACTAATAATCTTTAGAAGAAAAACTGTGCTTTCTGTAAAGATAACATTACATGAACTCAAATGTCTTTGTTGTGGTGTGTGTAGGAGCAAAGGATAGTGAAAGCAGAGGAGTGGGATTCCTTCATGGAAATTCTTCGTAAGCCATTGCCTGCTGCTTTCAGAGTTTATTCCAAGTATGCTATTTTTTATCTTTGGATCGTTCAATTGAATCAAGATAAAACCTTCAAAGTAGAAGTTTTTGACTAAATGTGGACAAACATTTTCTGGTTTCTTAGTGGTCAGTTTTGCGATGAGATTCGGTCGATATTGGAGAATGATTTCGTGAAATCTCTTCAGGCTGAGGTAAATCTTTGTTTTTTGTAGTTTCTCATTGCCAATCTACACAAAAAGAAGCATTTTTTAATGTTTGTCTTCTCAAATGCTTCTTAAATAGGCTGTAGAGAGTGGTGAATTGGAGGCTATCAAGCCTTTGCCTTGGTACCCTAAGAATCTTGCTTGGCATTCTAATTTTTCTCGCAAGGAGATTAGAAAAAACCAGACACTTGAGAGGTACATCTTCACAGATAAAAGAACAGAGTCGTCTTTTGTTTTCAGCTCCAAAACAAATCTTCATTTCCTTTTGTTTACTCGTGTCAGTTCATGATTCAGGTTTCATGAGTTTTTAAAGTTAGAAACCGAAGTTGGGAACATGACAAGGCAAGAAGCAGTTAGCATGGTATGCTATTTAATGCTACTAGTGTAACACTCTTTTTTTTTTATCGCATTCATCGATACATTTTATTGATTTTTTGTGGTTGGTTTTTATGATCACGCAGCTACCTCCTCTCTTCCTTGATGTGCATCCGGATCACTTTGTCCTTGACAGTAAGTGATTTTGTTAATTATACATTGTTTGAGATGGCTATGGACTTGAGGAGTAAGGGTTAACTGATTCACTTCTCTTCCCTTTTTGTCTGAACAGTGTGTGCTGCACCTGGTTCCAAGACATTTCAGCTTCTTGAGATAATTCATGAATCAGCAGAACCAGGATCTCTACCTAATGGAATGGTTTGTAATACTCATTTTTTATTTTTGGTTGGTTGATAGATAAATTTCTTTCTTTGCCTAATTGTTTTGGTTGAATCAGGTGGTGGCAAATGATGTTGATTATAAAAGATCTAACCTTCTTATTCACCAAACGAAAAGAACGTGTACGACCAACTTGATAGTCACTAACAATGAAGGTCAACATTTCCCAAACTGCAACTCGAAGAGAGACTTGTCCACAGCATCTGAGATGTATCATCATCCCATTGATCAGCTTCTCTTTGATCGTGTCCTATGCGATGTACCATGTAGCGGTGATGGTACTCTGCGCAAGGCTCCAGGCATATGGCGAAGATGGTTTCTATACCTATAACCTTCCAAATTGACATTTTTTGTATTCCACTTGCTTCGAGATTCTTATTCTTCTTTTTGTTTTCTGCACAGGAATTCTGGATCGGGAAATGGACTTCATAGTCTACAAGTTGTGCTTGCCATGAGAGGTAAGCTTTTTTTCTTTTCTCAGATGACCTGACTCTCAGAATCTTATGTTTTGACTTCTATCTGTAATGTCTGGTTTCAGGTTTGTCTCTGCTGAAAGTTGGTGGGAGAATGATATACTCAACCTGTTCAATGAACCCAATTGAAGATGAAGCTGTTGTTGCTGAAGTAATTTATTAGTTTCTTTCGTTTCTCCATAAATCTGTTTTCTCCCGATGCGGATTGGTTATTTCGTTAGCATTTCTTCAGATTCTGAGGAGGTG